CATCCCTAATCCTGACCAGCCATGGAGAGGTTCGGTTCTTACAAGGAAAATGAGTGAATGTGGGAATGGCTCACCACATTGGGAAAACAAAACCCACATCCTGCTGATGGTGGCTGAGGACTGTCATGTCCACATACAAAGAAAAGCATGTGGCACAATTTTAGGACAAAGGTGAGCAGAGATCCACCGTGGAAAGGGGCAAATTTTTCTTATAGAGAGAACATCCAAAGGCATGCCCCTCGGTAAGCAATGTTGGTGGGTGACTGTGGTCACACGCATGGAGGCTTGCTTTCCCTTGCATCTACTTCCTAGCTGGAATTAAGTCTTCTTAGTTACATACTGCCCTGTTGGCCATGAGTCAACATATTCACAAAGCAAGTCATGAACATCATTTTCCTGCAGGATTTGTCTCCAGTTACCCTGTTTTGTGACACTGTTTACAAGGCAAGAATGACCCTAAGCCATTCTGAAAAGGATGAAATAATCTACATCCTTTTTGGTAGAACCTAAAGAGAACAGGGCAGACTTAGCAGTGTTGGATACTATTTGTGTAGTATGATCAAGGAAACCTATTTAACCAAAAAAGTATAATTAACTTTTCTGAAATTTAGATCTTGGAGTACCTTGGGTTCAAAAAATCCATGATTCCAATCATTACATTTCAAGACTCTTGAATGAGCTTGAGCAGTGTAAATTAATGGAAGAGTAATACTAGCACTGACAAACAAAATAAAAATGAACTAAGGTTTAGAAAAGCTCACAAAATTTAGTGTGGCTTTTGTTTATGGTGGTAAAATGCCTGCTTGCCCACCTGTCTATAATTAGTAAGAATTATAGTACCCTTTGTTTTTTTAAGGGATGAAATGATAGCAAGTCTTGTTTTACCTTTTCTTCCCACCCCTTGAAATTTGACATGAAAAGAAGGAAATCCGTTTGGGAACAAAGTCTTCTTGTTAAATGTTTTTTTATATAGGACACTTGAAAGTTAGACTACACTTTTTATTCTTTCATACAAACATAAAGGGGAGGGAAATGAAAAGCTGTGGAAACAGTCAAGATAGGACATACTCAGAAGTTATCTATTTTTTTTAAATCCTGTTCTATGGGACTTTTAAAATATGCCTCTCATTTAAAAAAAAAATAAAATAAAATATGTTTTAGATTTGTTCTCCATCTTCATCCTAAAACTAGATTTAATTGAAGTCTCGTTTTCAATAGACTAAAACTGTATATGGCTAAGAAATGTGTCTCTTGGGCTGTGTGTATGTAGTAAGGCTTATTCTCAAGTCACACTATATATATACACACATATGCATAAGGTACATACACATGATTTTTTGTGCATATATATATATTTTTTTTGTGCATATATATTTTTTATATTCATTCCTACTTTGATATTCAAAAGGAGAGTACTTTCTAGGAGAAGTTCATTTTCTTTGCTGCAAAGTACAAAAGGGATAATTAACAATTTAGAAAGATGTCAAAGAGAGTTTTGATTTGTTGACAGCACTAAAATTTCACTCTTGGACAGTTTTAAATGTTTACTTACAATTAGGGACCCATATGATAGTTTTACAAGATCTTTTTGGTGGTAGTTGTTAGGTGCCATGGACTCATAGTGACTTTACAAACAACGGGTCGGAACCCTGTGCAATCCTTATCATCTCTGCCGTACTTGAGCCCATTGCAGTCCCTCTGTCAATCTACTCGTAATTCTGTAAAAGGGAGCTTTGGTGGCTTAATAGTGAGGAGTTGCTCTGCCAACCCAAGAACATGCAGTTTGAATCCACCAACTGCTCCACAAGACAAAGATGAGCAGTCTCCTTCGCAATTTATTGCTTCTGGAAAGTCTACTTTGAGGGTCAGCTATGAGTAGGTGCAGACTTTATGGTACATAGCAACAATGAATGCTATCTTACTGGTCTTCCAAATTTTAGAGTTTAAATTATGCAATAATCCTCATTAATTCCAAGGAATACTAATTTTTAATACTTAATAGTCATTTATTATTAGGTGAAACCTGAGAAATGATACAGGAATGTTTCTTCACTTCACAAATAAATAAGACCTAAAGAAGTTATTTGAAGGTGTACTTCAGAGTTGGTTTATAGCAGAACTAATTCAGGCCATCTCTCCTGCTTCAGTCTTTAATAGCTCTAAATATGGTAAAATGGGGATGAAAAGTAATACCTGATTTGTGGGTATTATAAGTATTAAATAAGATGGCATTGCCGAATATATAGTGATGGCTTGATAAATGTTAGATAATATTGTATTGTTACAGCCTAGTCTTCTTGCTCTATTTGTGAGACCCACTCACTCTACTTACTGACTGAATTAAAGTAGATATACCAACCTGGTCTGGTCTTTGTTTTACTTATCAAGCAACAGTCCTCTGTTGTGGAAAAATGACCACAGATGACTTACTGTGGGGGAGAATATTTAAGTCTTCCAAATCCACCTACTGTATCAGTGGCAGAGAAGTGAATGTGGTGCCTGAATTAATTTTTGGACTAGACTTTGACATCTTCATGTTCTAAATTGATTTTGTAGCCATCATCGTGAAATAATTTTTTTTAATTTCAAGTCAGCTGTTTTCATGTGTGATTTAGATACCCTAAAAATATACTGAGCGACTCTTGTTGAAATATTTTAGAAGGTATATAATAAAGTTTCTACAACTCTGAGGAAGATTTTTTTGGCCACAAATCAGCCTAAGCCTGATTGACAAAGCTTGGTCTGAGCATTAATTTTTAAGTACCATTCTCCACGTAGCAAATTTTTATTACTGTCCCTCAATGGTCAGAATGTGTTTTTCTGCATATAAGCCCTGGAGCAGAGCAAAGGAATACAGAAGATCTCTGTGTTGGGGACAGAGTGTTAGCAGAGAAGTCTACTGTGAGCATGATTTCTCAAAAACTAGTGCAGCTTTCCATTTCAGATGATTACAAAGCTTAGGGTCATGTGTTGTGTGATTCTTGGGTAGCTGTAAAGCCTACTGAAGAAAACAGTGATTGCATTTGATGTTAAGCTTCCGTAGCCTGTTTTTTCCTTCTGATTTCACTTCTGGTTAGTCCTGGTCATTGAATGGTACAGAACTAGTGGGTGACTCTTCAAGGACCTCTTCATCCTGCCACTGTTGGACATGTCTCTTGTACCTCTAACAAGTTCTTCCATGGTGCCAGGACTAGTGTAATGTGAGGGCAAGGAAATCCATAAGCCATTTCCATAACTAAATTAAGGAAGGTATGTTGTGATTTTTAGAAATAAAGTGGACAGTGCTTAAAGTTGCGTTTTGTCTGCTCTTTTTATTTTGTTCATTGTATATTTTTCCCCTTTCAAAATGTATAGCTTTCCATATAATAAACTTTAGCTAGGAAAGGAAAGAACAGCTCTATAACTAGATGTTTTGGTGACTTAAAGCACATTTTAACATCAGGAGTTAATGATTCGGAGACATTTTACTTTGTTAAACATAACAGCATGCCCAAATAATTAATAAGCTTAATATGCTTCTCAGCAATTCCAGCCTATGAAAGCATGAAACCATGTCTTAAAGACTTAACAGCCCATAAATTGAACTCGGTTACTTCTGAATTGGTTATGTCTAGGTTGCTGCAAAGTACTTCCTGTATCAGTTACTTTCTCTCTTTTTTTTTTTAAATAGAATTGAATGATACTCAGAGACTCGGCTTGAATGGTCCTTTAGACATCTCAATATATAATACACCCTCCAAAGTTACTAGCTATACCTTATAACCTAATGCAATGTCACCTTGAGAGACTTGTTTGAAGCAACTCTTTACTAATGTAAAATTCAGCAATTCTGAGTGGTTTTCATTTATCTAACATGATGCTGAGAAGGGCATTACATTTTAAAGAATTAGTGGGATACTTTTTTTTTTGTCAGAAGGCTAAAATGAGCTGGCAAGCGTTAGTAATCTGTTTTTAGTTTCTGGGTGTGCAGAATGCCATTTAAATGCATATGAACACTTAGTCAGCATTTGCCTCTGTGTGTATGGTCTTGCTAGAATTTTAAAAAGCTGCTTGTAATTTGTACTTTGTGATTTGTTATATAGGATAGTCAGTAAGATGATTTCCATTTTTAAATATAAGCCCTTGTCACAAAGCTAGAATTACCACAGCAGTATTGGATCACACCAAACATTTCTTGATTAACACAGTTTAATGGTTACTATTTATCCTTGTTACAACTCTTGTGCAGATTTTGCACTTTTGTAGATTGTACTCCTTTAACAGACAATAGGATATTTGGGGATTGTTTCTTTTGGCTTTAACCACTGTACTTGGCTGGAAAATTCCCAGCAGTATTATCTCAAGAAGTTTGCATGCACAGTTGTATTAAGATTTTAGAGAATTCCAGCCTGTCAGAAAGTCTCACGGAAATGAGTTTGGAATGTCACAGAAAAGTGAATAGCTCGGAATTTTTCCACTGGTAATCTCTAGAACACTCAATTTGTTACCCGTTTGTTTAGATAGAAGAATAGGACTTCCTTTCACTGAAAAGATTTAAAATATCATGTTTTTACTTGGTGTGTTAGTTCAAAACAAGATTTAGTTAAGACAGTGCGTAGGTGTAGATCTCTAATTATTGTCTTAAATACCACTTTTATATTACACCTTTAAAAGATGACTTTTGGGGTTATGTGATGAAAGATCAGGTAATCGGTCTCATAGCCTTTACAGGCATTTCTCGTAGAGATCTTTTCAGATGTCACCAACCACTTTGGGAATAAAGGAAGTAGTCTCTATATCTTAGCCTCTTTCTAGAAAGATAGAGTTCTATTTTGAGCAATTTTCCTGACCTCTTGCCATGCTTTACAGGCAAAGTTATTTCAGCTAAAGGAAAGAGAAAGTTGGCCCTTTTGCAAAACCCACCTAACCTTTGCTAAGCATGACCTCATTGCTTTCTCTTGAATCTTAGAAAGTTGCAAGTCAAAGTGGTACTAACTAGAATTTTATTTGTTCTCTTCTAGATATGGTTTTGTGGAGTTTGATGATCTGCGTGATGCAGATGATGCTGTTTATGAACTGAATGGCAAAGACCTTTGTGGTGAACGAGTAATTGTTGAACATGCCCGAGGCCCACGTCGAGATGGCAGTTACGGTTCTGGACGCAGTAAGCATTAAAGGGCATTTGTATCAGTTACATACATGCCGTTTTTTATTAAATGTCAGTTTTTAAAAGTAATTCATTAATACTACACATAAATTAATGATATTTAAGCCATTTGTTTTTGTAAATTATGTCTCTTTAATGTAGAATTGCAAATAAACATCTTTGATAATGTTTAATTGATAATTAAAGTAATATTTTTTGTGTTAATGTTTTATAAATATGCTTAATGATATGTGTTTGTGTTGTGTTTTTTTTTCTCTATAATGCAATTGTTTAACATAGATTTAACAAAGACCTCAATGTTTTAATTAAAAGAATCCTTTGAGGCTAAGATGACTGCCTGTTCCATTTGCTGACCTTGGGTTACCTTTCCATGCGTGGCTCTTTGAACCATGTGGCCCTTGGCTGACCAAAAACAGGAAGCCATGTGACGACCGCAACCTTTTCCCATTAGACCTGGGTGGTGAGGATCCCAAGGGTTAGACACAGATGAGATTAAACTGAAATAGGTGCCTGAAAATCTTTTTTTATATATATATGTATATATATAAAATATTCACAAAATGTAAATCACTGTGAGTAACACTTGTAACTGATTTAGTAATTTGGTTACTTATTTCTGAGTTGTTAAATTATTAATAGTTTCTAATTTTTGCATGTAATTTTCAGTGTAAAAATTAATATATATACTTACACCTTTTGAAATTAAATTTTTAACTGATTATTTTTGTAAGAAATAAATCTCATAACTAAGGGTGGGAGGAAACTTAAATATTGTTTGGGATGGGAGGTAAATCGTATATTTAAGGGGAGTATATGCTGTATTGTTTTTTCCTTTTCCTCCTCTGAAGTAATCTTTCTATTTGAACCTTCCAAAGGTGGATATGGTTATAGAAGAAGTGGCCGAGATAAATATGGCCCTCCTACCCGAACAGAGTACAGACTTATTGTGGAGAATTTGTCAAGTCGGTGTAGCTGGCAAGACCTAAAGGTTTGGGCCCATTAACTTTCTGGGGTAGGTTGGGAAGAGTTATACTGGAAAACAGGTAAATTGTATATGGGCACAGGCATATACAGAATACTCTGATATCATTTATTTGAATACTTTCTCAAAGTGTTTGAAAGTTCTCCAGTGCATAACGTTAAACAGGAGAGGTATAAATGAATCTCACTACTGCTTTATGTCTTGGGACCATCACTCTAAGGACAAGCTTATAATACATGCTGTGTTCCTCTGTAGAAAATGTTACAGGGAGATGCCAATTCTGTTCTCACCGATTAAAGAGGAAATTGCATCCAGTGTAGATTCTCATCAGTGAAATGAATATATTACCAGTTCTCTCACAGTTTTGTTTTTCATGAGAACTCTAATGCAAACTCATTTTTTTCGAGTCAAGAGTTTGCTAGCTTATAAGTCATCTCTAGCAAAATAATTGAATTTTGTTTAGGTTCAAGGAGTTGTTTGTTTGTTTGTTATGTGCCGTCGAGTCATTTGCGACTCATAAC